GTCTCCCAAGATCCCACAACCGGCTCCAAGGTGGTTTGTAACCAGCCAAGCGCCCTGGGCTCAGCCCCAGGGTCACTGCAGGCAGGGCTCCCTTGGTCCTTATCTCTCCAAGCAGGATTAAATCAAGCCCAGCGTGGCTGAGGAATGCTCCAGGAGCATCCCACAGGGCACAGGGCACCTCTCAGGCCCACCAAAGAGGAGGGGTTTGCTCATTCCGCCCCTTTCCCAATGATCCCGAGGGTTTGCTGGGGAATTCCCCCGGGGTCATGCGGAGGGAGGTGACCAAAGCCCGAGATTTCCCTATCCCGGGTTTCTGTGCTCCCGATGAAGCCACAGGTGAGGGGCAGCCTCAGGCCGGGCCGGGCAGGACCTGCAGCACCCCCCACGGCAGGGGTGGCACTGGATGAGCTTTACGGTCCCTCCCAGCCCAAAGCTCTCCATGACTCCATGAATCCTCTGCCCCTCGGTTAGGACAGGAGGGGCCGGGCATCACCTCACAGCCCCGAGGCTCGCGGGTCCCACACTGCCCCTTCCTCACAGGCTCCTTCCTAAGGGTCTTTCATTGCCCCCCTGCCCGATGTTTAGCCATGAACCCCCCCTTGCCCCCACCCCGTCAGCAGGAGCAGCGCTTACCGGGGCTGAGTCCCACGGAGCCCTCGCCATGACTGAAGGCAAAGGGGAAGCTCGCAGGGAGCATCGTTACTGAGCCACCCAGATGGGTGCTGCCCACTCATCCCAGCTGGGTGGAGCGGGGCTGGCTCCTCTATCTCCAGAGACAGCTCCCCCCGGGCCCGCAGGGCTGCGGGGACACCCCCATGCAGGGCTGCGGGGACACCCCCATGCAGGGCTGCGGGGACAACCCCATGCAGGGCTGAGGGGACACCCCCATGCAGGGCTGTGGGGACACCCCCATGCAGGGCTGCGGGGACACCCCCATGCAGGGCTGAGGGGACAACCCCATGCAGGGCTGCGGGGACAACCCAATGCAGGGCTCTGGGGACACCCCCATGCAGGGCTGCAGGGACAACCCCATGCAGGGCTCTGGGGACACCCCCATGTAGGTCTCTTGGGACAACCCCATGTAGGGCTCTTGGGACAACCCCATGTAGGGCTCTTGGGACAACCCCATGTAGGGCTCTTGGGACAACCCCATGTAGGGCTCTTGGGACACCACCATGCAGGGCTCTGGGGACACCCCCATGCAGGGCTGTGGGGACACCCCCATGCAGGGCTGTGGGGACACCCCCATGCAGGGCTGTGGTGATCCCCCCATGCAGGGCTTTGGGGACACCCCCCGCTGCTCTGCAGGGGGAAACGAGAGGATAAAGGACCACAAAGGTTGGGATTTGTCATTCCCCCTTCCCTGTGTGAAGCTCTTCAAGCAATCCCTCAGGAGCAGGTGCGCTCTCCCCCCGGCTGCCTTTGCCTCCATAGCCGGTGTTCACACTCGGGGAATATTCCCCGCAGGAATATCCCTTGGCATAAAGCAAAAAGCCCCGAGCAGAGCACCAGGAGGTTACTGCCATAGGAAGGGCGCTACTGCCCGGACAGGGACAACAACGGCTCCTCCTCCACCTCTGCCCTCCCTTCCCATGGGGGGAACCCCGAGCCCGGGGCTCACAGCTCTTTCCTGCCTGATGGCCCCAAAGGCACCAAGGGCAGGAAGGGCCCAGGGCTCCTGCTCCTCCCCAGCGTGGAGACAGCGCTGGTCCCACGCCAGGAGCGGTTCCTGCCATTGAGGTCCCTGCAGCTGATGGGAGGCTTTGAACTCAGTGGGGTCCCGGGGGCACAGCGTGGTCCTTGCAGCCTGGAGAAGGCTCCTGAAGGGGAGACCTGAGAGCAGCTCCAGGGCCTGAAGGGGCTGCAGGGAACCTGGAGAGGGGCTTGGGACAAGGGATGGAGGGACAGGGACAGGCCAAGGGGAATGGCTTGAACCTGCCCGAGGGGAGACTGAGATGAGCTCTTAGGCAGAAGCTCTTCCCTGTGAGGGTGCTGAGGCGCTGGCACAGGGTGCCCAGAGAAGCTGTGGCTGCCCCATCCCTGGCAGTGCTCAAGGCCAGGTTTGGACACAGGGGCTCGGAGCACCCTGCTCCAGTGGAAGGGGTCCCTGGACGCACCCCGAGCTCCCCTCATCCCAGCGCTCCCCACGGCCCCATCGCTGCAGAGCAGCAGCCGGAGCCCCGGGGGCTGAAACCACGCCGAGAGCGCCCTGGGACCGCACCGGGGCCGCGTTCCCGGGCGGGGCCCGTGCTCAGGGCTCACGGAGCTCTGCGGGGCACGGCCACGGCAGCACCGGCGCCCGCGGCAGCCCCCGGGGCTCCCCTCGCACCCAGGTCCCGTTAAAGCTCATCCATCACTGCCCCCCCCCCCCGGACCGTGCCACCCCAAACCCGGGGGGGGGGGGGCACCCACAGAGCAAGAGCGGCAGCCCCGTCCCGGGGGGGGGCTGGACCGGGCCAGGAGCCCCCGGCGCTGCGGACACCGCAAGGTCACCGGGGGGCAGGGAGCCGGGCCCATGTGGGACCCTGAGGGACCGCACGGGGGGCGCTGGAGGCCGCAGCTCCACGGGAACCCCCCCCGGGGACCCCCAAACACCCCGGATACCCCGGCAGCGCTGCGGGCGGGGGGGATCCCCCCCCGGCACACTCAGAGACCCCCCGGGGTCACTCCATGGGGGGATCCCCCCGGATCCCACGGGATCCCCCCAATGGAGCCCCCCCCCCATCACGCACACCGAGCCCCGGCCGCACTCACCGGCCCCGCCGGGCCCCGCCGCCGCCGCCTCATGCTGCGGCCCCGCGTTGCTGCCGCTCGGGCCGGCCTGGCACCGCCCGCCCCGTGACGCGGCGCGGAGCGACCGGGGACGGCGACGGGGAACGGGGCCTGGTGGCAGCCCCGGTGCTGGGGAACGGGGTCCCGGCAGGGGCCCTGGAGCAGGCTCCGGATCGGGGAACGGGACCCCGGGGGGGAAGGGGGGGGGGGCACGGAGGGGACGGGGCCCCGGTGCAGGACCCGATAGGGGGAGATGCGGGCACCGGTGCGGACCCCGGGGTGGAAACCGGGACCCAGGGAGCAGAACAAGGCCCCAGGATGGGGTCAAAGGAGCCCCGGGGGGGTCACGCAGCCCTGGTATAGGGGACACAAGCCCCAGGGCAGGGGACATGGGCCGGGACAAGCTGGGTTAATTCCTGCTCCCAGGTTGTCCTTATCCTGCCCCATTCTATGGCTCACTCGGGAGCAGGAGCTCCCCGGAGCTGAGGAATGATCCGTGTTGGTTATCCCAGCACAGCAGCACCTCAGGAATGCTCTGGGGGTCGAATCTTGTTTTGGCTTCTGTTTGGTTTCTGTCTGCTTCTTCCATAGGGAACGTGGGGTTCCACAGAATTCCTCTTGCTCCGCACGCTCCCATGAATACTCAGGATAATTCGCCCTTCACAGAGCAGAGCTGCGGCACGGGGAAGGCAGCAACTTGCTGCCATCAAACAGAGCTTCCCCAACTGCCATTGAACACAAACAGTGCCACGGGGAAGTGTTCTGACACAACCAAATCCTGGGAAAGCGAGAAATCTGGGAGATGGGAGCCTGGGGCTCCCGCACAGAGAGGGAATTCAAACCCTGCACGGGCAGGCGAGTGCAGCCCGTGCCCACAGCACCAACGGTGCTTTGCCAAGAGCTTTTAGGCTTGATGCTGGAAAACCTATTCCCCAGTATCCCACTGTTCCCAGATGTGGGTGCTTTGGGGTGAGGGCGCTGCCTCCCCAACAGCAGCGCTCCCACTCCGTACTCACCCAGCTCCAGGCTGTACTTCTTGGGCATGGTGCTACGGGCGGGCTGGTTTCGGGGAGCTCCGTCCCGCTCACTTAAATACGGGGCGTCCCCACCCTGGGGCAGCTCCGTGCTCGGGGCACGACTCAAAGTCTCCCGAAAACAACCCCATCATCTTCACCCTTATCGTTTGTCACGGAGCCATAAAGCGCCGGCAGCCAAACGGGGGGTTCATGGCACAACCCTGGCCCCACGGCAGCGCTGGGGCTTGGGGGGAAAGGTGGGTTCTGAGCTGCTGGGCACGGAATCGACCCGCGCCTTGATGAAAAGGCCGTTTGTGGAAGCAGAGTCCACGGGGCTGATGGTAGATTAGAGCCCAAGTGGCACTTAAGGGGCACTTGCGGCGCTGGTACGTGCAGCGCTGATAAGGGGCGCTCTCTTTCCAGCCTGGATCGATACCTCCCGTTATCAGCCGTGCCCCGGGGTCTGGAGCGCACCGAGCCCCGCGATAACCCCGCGCTTTTGTCCTTTCCTCGCCGCAAAAGGGGCCCCGGTGCCTTTTGCCGATAAGCAGGAGCTGAATGTGCAGCGCTCCGAGATGCACCGGGGCAGGGCCACTGGTGTGCGTGACCGGCTCCATGCGCTCCAGGGGCCGAGGGAAGCGGCGTGGAGAGGGGGCTCGGCTGGGAAAAGCATCCCCAGGGTCTCATGGAAGACAGAGGCGCTGACGGAGACCTGGGAGGAGGCCACGTAGGGGGTGGGATGGGGGGAATGGACCGGCAGAGCCTGCAGGAAGGGGCAGCCGCTTCCCAAAGGGATCGACACGTTTCCAGTGGCGCTCGGGACCGAGAAAACAAACACGGCCCACGTGAAACTGCCCCGGGCGGAGGCGGAACCGGCTCGGCCGCTCGGCTGCGGGTTTTCCATGGGAGGAAGGGACGGACGGACCGGCCTGGACCCGCTGCGGGCCAGGGGAGCCGGGCAGAGCAGGGACCCCCGGGGTTTAACCCCCAGCCCTGGTGCCGCTGTAGCGGGGACAGCGGGAGGGTCCGGGAGCGCTTCCCCAACAGGGAACGGGGCGGGTGGACAGGGCCCGGGGCTGCTCCCGAGCTGGCACCGGCGATGGAGAGGGAGAACCGGTGGCGGTGAGGGTGGGAGCCGGGGCCGGGCCCCGTTACCGGTAATGCGGAGAGAGCTCAACCACAGCCCACCCCGCTCCGCTGCGGCCCCGAGAGGCCACTTCCGCCTTTGGTCACATGACTGGCCGCTCTGCTTCTCCGTCAGCCAATCAGCGGCCAGCTTTCCGCGTGACCTTCGTCCCGGCGGTGTCCCGTCAAGATGGCGCTGTCCATGGCCGGCTGCCGCGGGTTGCTCTGGCGCCTCGGGCCCGGCCCCGCCGCAGGCCTCAGCCGCTCCCGGCGGGAGCTGAGGTGAGCGGGGCCTCCCCCCCCACCCCGGGCCGCCCGCTCCCGCCGCAGCGCCCGCACCCCGGCACCGGCCACGCCCGCCGTTACCGCCCTTGCCTCCCCCGTGCTCCCCGGACAGGCCGCAGACCCCGCGGGCTCCCTGTTCCCAGCTCCCCGCTCCTCGCCGTGCCGCCGCCCCGCTCTGTGCCACACGGAGCCCCCGCACCGCGCCCCGCACAGGCCCCCTCCGCAGTCACCTGGGCCGCTGCCCCCGGCCCCGAGCCCTGTCACAAGCGGCTGCCTGGGCCCGTGCAGGGTAAGGGGGGGCCCCCAGCACCTCAACCCTTTTCCAGGGGCTTCAGGCCACCCCCCAGCCCAGTGCCCACCTCCAGGCGAGCCCCTGCTTCCCTCGGAGCCCTTTCCTGCGGGACAGAATCAGTCCCGGGGTGCTTTGCTGCAGGCTCCCGGGGCGCTGCCTCTCCACAAAGGCCGGCTCCAGGTCCGTCCTGGCCGCCCTGGTCTCCACGGCGAAGCGCATCAACAGGAGGTACGAGAGGTTCCTGGAGCGCACGTTCCCCCGGTTCTATGTGCTCCACTCCACGTTCACCAGAGGTGGGTGCTGGGGGGGGCAGCAGGATGTGCTCCCGCACCGCTGGAGGGGTTTTCCTGGGAGCCGGAGGCTGAGGCTGCTCCGTGCTTCGCCAGGGATCCAAGCGCTCTTCTTGGAAGTGAAAGAGATCCGAGACATCCGCTCCCGAATGGCCCGACAGAGGCTGAGCGTGCAGCAGCTGCCGTACCGGGACATGGAGCGCCTGCGGCAGGTACGGCACCGGCACCGGCTCGGCCCCGCTCTCAGGACGGGGATCGGGAGCTGCGCCCAGGACTGGGATTCTGATTCTCGCTTCTTTTGGAGGCAGTTCCGGAGGGACCTGATCAAGGCCGTTCCCATTGGAATCATCGCCATCCCGCCCTTCGCCAACTTCTTGGTCATCATCCTCATGTGAGTACAGCCACGACCCCGACCTCTGGGCTCCATCCTAGACTTCATGGAACTGGGGTTCTCGGAGCTATAAATCCAACCAGACACCTCCCTCCCTCACTCCACCTCTTGCTGTCTCCAGCGTCCCTCTCCCTTCCAGCTGGCCTGATCCTGGAGCTAAATCCCTCTAAATCCCTGCAGTTTCCATTCCTGCTCCCTTGTGTCCACTGATGAGAGCCCCAGCTCCAGCTGGGCACAGCAGCGATCCCAGCACCAGAGCACTCCTTCCTAAGCTCCCCGCAGCCTTCAGAGGAGCAGGTCTCCCGTGACCCACTCGGGGTCTGTGGATGTTGGTTTCCCTCCTCAGATCCCATTGATTCATTCCTGACACCACTGCCCACAGCGCTCTCCTGGAGAACCGGCTGCTGGAGCACAGGCTGGAATCCTGGCTGGGTGCTGGGGAATGGAGCTAAATCCAGGCTGGGGCTGGTCCCATAGGATGTTCCCCAGGGCTCGGTGCTGGGGCCGGGTCTGGTTTGTGTCTTTGTCACTGACCTGCATGAGGGGATGGAGCGAACCCGCAGTCAGGTCATAGATGACACCAGGTTGGGTGGGAAGCTCTGCGGAGGGATCTGGCCTGGCTGGCTCCATGTCTGTGCCAATGGGGTGAGGTTCATAGAAGGCAAAGTGCCAGGTCCTGCACTGGGGCCACAACAACCCCCTGCAAGGCTCCAGGCTTGGGAAGAGCGGCTGGAAACTGCCTATGGGAAAGCAGCTGGATGAATGGAGCTGAGCAGGAGCAGCTTGTGCCCAGGCAGCCAGGAAGCCCCCAGCATCCTGGCCGGGCTCAGCACCAGTGCGGCAGCAGCAGGGCCAGGGCAGGGATTGTGCCCCTCCACTTGGCACTGGGGAGGCTGCACCTCAAGTCCTGTGCTCAGCTCTGGGCCCCTCACTGCAAGAGAGACATTGAGGGGCTGGAGTGGGGCCAGAGAAGGGAATGGAGCTGGTGCAGGGCCTGGAGCCCAAGTGTGATGGGGAAGGACTGAGGGACCTGGGGGGTTCAGGTGGAGAGGAGAAGGCTCAGGGGGGACCTGATCGCTGCCTCCAAGTGCCTGACAGGAGGATGGAGCCAGGAGGGGCTGGGCTCTGCTCCCAAGGACCAAGGGATGGGACAAGAGGAAACGGCCTCAAGCTGCACCAGGGCAGGTTTAGATGGAGCTGAGGAACAATTCCTGCCCCAGAGGGTGCTCAGGCATTGGAACAGGCTGCCCAGGACAGGGCTGCAGGCACCGTCCCTGCAAGTGTTCGCACCCCGTGGAGACGAGGCCTCAGTGCCATGGGGCAGTGGTGGCCTTGGCAGTGCTGGGCATGGTTGGAACCGAAGCTCTTTTCCACCCTGCAGGACTGTGAGTGCCAAGCTCCCCCTCTGAAGGAGCTCCCATCCCGTTCATTTCCCCCCCCTGCACCCCTCTCTCCTCTCCTCCCCCAGGTATTTCTTCCCACGGCAGCTCCTGATCCGTCACTTCTGGACCCCCCAGCAGCAGGTTGAGTTCCTGGCCACCTACGACGCCATCCGCAGGGATTCCTACCCGGCTGTGCTGGAGAGCTTGGCACGGGCAGCGCGATCCCTGCCTGAGCCGCAGCTCCAATCCCGCCTGCAGCAGCTCTGCTCCGAGGTACAGCATCCCCGGGCCACTGTCACCCTGCGGCTGTGCCGCCACCGGGAGGACCCCGGGGGAGCTGCTGGCGCCGGGCTCTGTGCTCCTGCAGGTGCAGCGTGGCTCCCAGCCCCGCGTGGCCGAGCTCTGCGCACTGAGAGGGGCGTTCTCGGGCCCTGGGCTGGCTCTGAACCAGCTCCAGCTCTGCCATGTGGTGAGTTGGGCTTTTGTGCCCCTCGGCTGGGGGGGTGTGCCCTAAACCCGGGCCACTCGGGGATGCAAAGCTGGGTGCTGCATCCCTGGAAACACTGGGATGCTTGGAGCAACTGGATTGAACTGGGAATGTTGGAACTAAATGAGCTTTGAGGTCCCTTCAACCCAAACCCGCGCGGGATTCCCGGGGACGAGGCTGTTTGTGCGTCCTTTGGTCACCGTTGGCCTCTGAGCCATCCCACACCCAGACTCACACCCAGCACCCGTGGGCAGCCCACGGCAGGGTGGCCTCTGCTCCACCGGGCCCGGGCGCTGCCGGGACGGGGATTCCGTGTGGGATGATGATCAAATGGGATCGAAATGTGGGTCACGGCTGGGAGAGGCTCCAGGTCCTGCCCGGACGGGTCCAACGCCCGCTGTGGGGGGGCTCCGTCCCCTTTCCCTCCTCAGAAAGCCCTGAGCCGGGTCCTGTTCCTCACCCCACACTTGCCGGCCCCCATCCTGCGGCATCGCCTGCGGAGCCACGTGCTGGAGATCCGGCAGCTGGACCGGGCCCTGCAGCGCCTGAGCCTGGGGCAGCTCCGTGAGGAGGAGCTCAGAGCGGTGAGGACCCCCCCAGGGCTTGGAGCTGGGGGAGCTTCCCAGCCCCTGCACCCCAGCCCAGGCCCTGGTGCTGAGTGCCCCCTCCTGTGCCCTCCAGGCCTGTTACCTCCGGGGCCTGCACTCCGCTCCGCTGGACGCGGCCTCGTGCAGAGCGTGGCTGGAGCAGTGGCTGGGGCTCTCCTGCAGGCTGGAAGGTGACGGTGGCTCCTGCCTGGTGGGGCTGGGCAGGGACCTGGGCTCATTGCTGGGGGAGATCCGGGATGAGCAGTGGCTTTATCCCTGTCCCATGGAGGAGGGTACGGAGGAACGCGCTGGCTCTATCCATGGATGTGCCGATGTGGGATACCCCAAGGAGCAGCCCAGGGGTGGCTGCCTCTGTCCCACAGCGACCTCAGGGTGGCAGATTCCAGCCCTGGGGGAAAGAGAGTGGGGCTGGGAGGGAAATGGGGGACCCAGAGCAGAGCAGAAGGGGCTGGGGGTGAGGAGGGGCCCTGCAGGCTCTGGTGCTGCACCGGCAGCTCGGGATGAGTGTGGTCAGAGGGGTTGGGCCGTTCTGGTCCAGTTGATGTCCCTGCTCATCGCAGGGGGTTGGACTCGAGGTGCTTTGAAGGTCCCTCCCACCCCAACCCCTTCCATGGCTCTGACCCCGCTCATGTTCCTGTTTCAGCCTCCGAAGCCTCGCTCCTGGCCCACAGCATGGTCCTGCTGTCCCTCAACTACGTCAGGCCCAAGGAGTGAAGGGGGAGCCCGCGTCCTCCCAGCCCTGCCGCTTCCCAGCCTGGTGCTGCCCAAAACCCACCCTGGGGGTTGAACCCCCCCTGCCCCGAGCTGCTGCCATGGGGTAAGGACACGGCTCCCCCCTCCTGTCCTGGCTCTGCTCTTCCCCTTCGTGCTGTGGGGCTCAGCCCCAGCCTGGGACCCTTCAAGCCCAGGAGGGGAGAAGCTGCCCACGGGCCTGCCCTTGGGGTCTGCCAGCAGCGGGTTCTGCTCAGCCTCGTGCGGAGGCTCCTGCTCGAGCTCCTTCCCTGCTCCGAGAACTCTGGGATACAGAAAGGTCCCCGAGGGATGGAGCAGAGACCAAGCCCCTGCGTCCCGGGAGCAGCGGCGAAAGGGGCTCCTGTGCTTTGTGCTGCTGCCTCCTGCGCAGAGGCGGCTTTGGGGACTCTGAGGCAGCTCCCCGCTGCCTTCTGGGGTTCAAGGCCCCCTCCCTGCATGAGAACCCCCCAACACCCCCCTGTGAGTGACCCCAACCCAGTGCCCAAGTGCTTGATTAAAGCCCTACTCAAGCCGGCGGTGCCAGCGTCTCCCTGGTGCCTCCTGCACCGGGCTCCTGTGGCCATGGGGACCGTGGGCACTTGGAATGGTGCAAAGGAGGGGTAGGAACCAAACCACCCCTGCGCAGCCCCAAGCCAAAGACCATTCCCCGACCCTCCCCATTCCCAAGAAGAGCTCCCCGGGATGGGTTTAACCCCAGGCACTGCACAACTTGGAGCCCTTTATTTTCACTCCTTAAATCCAGCGTTCGCCGGGAGAGCAGAAAGGGCTGGGAAGGAAAAACAGAGGCCAAGCGTTGGCTTCCCGGTGGGAAGCAGGACCTCGGCCACCACCAGGGTGGGGAGCAGGGCAAGGGGGGACCCGCACTGGGTTTAACTGGGCTGAGGCACCGCAGCTCCGGCAGCACCAGGTTGGGGCTGGGCTCGTGGGGTCTGAGCCGGTGCCAAATGGAGCAGGGACCGGGAGGGACGCTCGGACAAGCCCAGAATCATGGAACAGGGAGAGCGCAGCAGGAACAGGATCCAGTCCTGATGGGTCCTGGATTGTGCCGGCCCTTGGAGGCCACTGGGAGCAACCCAGGAAGGGGGAAATAAAGCCCTGGAGCCGTTCAAGCGTCACCGTCTGCTCTGGTTGCGCAGCTCAGCTCTGGGGCAGGTCCCTGTTGGGATGGGACGTGGGGATGGGGATCACCAAGGGATCAGGCTTGTGAGCCTCCCCAGTGGAGCCTTGGGGAGCTGAGGCCGGGCATGGAGCCCCTGGGGTGGAAACCAACAGCCCCTTCCCTTCCCCTTCTGGGCCCAGGGGCTTGGACCCGCTCCCCAAGCACCAAACCCCCATTAAGGCCCTGTTCCCAGGGGCAGGTGAGCACCAGGAGCCTTCAACCGCAGCAGCACCCAACCAACCAAAGCACTTTGACCCCCAGCCTCATCCCCCCATGGAATTCCCCTGCTCTCCAGCTGGGAGGTTCCCCTTGGGAGCATCGAGCCCCAGGGTTGCTTCCCAAGGAGAAGCAGCCACGGGTCTGTGCCAGATTGACCCTGTCAGCAGAGGAAGCTCATGGGCATCGGGGGCTCTTGGCTCCCATCAGTTCCCAGTTCTCTCCTTACAAAGATGGGATTTGCTCAACCAGAAAGGGCCGGGACAACAGAGAGGAGATGTGCAAGGAACCCCCTGCTGGCTCTGGGTCCTTCCAGTCCATCCTGAGCCCAGCACCGGCCCCAGGGAAGGGGGAACATCCCCAGGAGGTGCTGGGTGGCCGAAGGGGGCTGGTGAGCATCCATTGAAGGGATGGAAGCAGAGGGGGAAATGGGGGTTTGAAGTTACCCCCCCAGGGAAGAGCTCTCCTGCAGGTGGAACAGGATGGGAGGGAGCTGCCCTGGGAAGAGGGAGGCTCCAGGTCCAGCACCCAAGTGGCCACCGGCCTGTGCCAGGCAATGGGATGGGTTCAGATCCTCGGTACGATGCCCGCCCCCCCCCCAGCACCCGGTAAATAACCACCAGTGGCCGCTGCTGGTCCATAAAATCTTATTGTCAATAAATAACGGAGCACCGAGGGGGGGCCTCGCTCACAGCGGCAGCACCGGCTCCGGCACCGGCTCCGCTGGCACCGAGCTCCCCGCGGCGGATGCTGCAGCCCCGGGTGGGGACGGAGGGGGTTTGGCTGCTTCCCCCTTGCTGGCGGCTCGGCTGGGAGCAGCCCCGGCCCCGGGCAGGACGCTGAGCTCCTTCTCGGCCACGCAGGACGGTGCTGGGGGCTCTGGGGGGGCACCATCGCCCCTGGAGCCCGGCCTCGGCTCCACCGGGTAGTAGAGCACGGAGCCATCGTTCAAGTAGGGCTGCTCGCCCGTGGCCGCCGGCTCCGAGCCCTCGGCGAAGCAGAGGACGGACGAGCCCGGAGGTAACTGGGCTTGGATGAGGATGGGAGCGGCCAGAGCCGGGCAGAGCCCCTGCGGCACGGCCAGCGGCTCCTCCAGGATGCAGACGCCCAAGCTCTCGACGCCGGCGCCGCTGCTGGAGTCTTCCTCAGCCTTCAGCCTCTCCAGCTCCTCGGCCGTCTGCAGGTGCATCACGGCCGACTCGTTCTCTGCCATGAACTCCTGGAAGTCCTGGGTCTCGCCGGGCTGCGGCCCCGGCCACGCGCTGCCGCAGCCGTGAGCGGCGCCGGATGCGGCCTCCTCGGGCACCGGGGGCCGCCCGCCCTGGCGCTTGTTCTCCAGCTCCAGCTTCATGATGGTGTGGAGGTAGTGAGTCCGCACGCGGATGGGGTTGAATTCGATGCGCCCGGCCATGTTGCCGCAGCCGTCCCGGGAGCAGCCACAGGGGAAGGACATGCGATCCACCTGGCAGGGGGATGGAGACGTGGCAGCGCCAGGATCACACAACCATGGAATGGGTTGGGTTGGGAGGGGACCTTAAAGCTCCTCCAGTTCCAACCCCCTGCCACGGGCACGGACACCGTCCACTGGAGCAGGGTGCTCCAAGCCCCTGTGTCCAACAATGCCAGGGATGGGGCAGCCACAGCTTCTCCCTTCAACCCCTCCCGTGTCCCACCACCCTCATAGACCTTCCCGAGCTCCCACCTGCACCCCCAGCTCACCTGGCACTTGATCCCGGCCTGGCTGCAGGCGCAGGCCTCGGGGTCGCAGTAGAGGCGGCAGTCGCAGCCGCACTCCTCCCGGGAGAGCCGGATCGCCCGCAGCTCCTGCTTCTCCTCGGCGTCGATGCGGTGCACGCCGGAGGCGCGCAGCAGTGCCCGGCGCCGCTTGGTGGGCAGCGGCTGCAGGAAGAAGTAATCGTCCACCTCCACGTTCTCCACATCGATGTCATCGTCCGAGACGTCCTCCAGCGTGAGCCCGTCCGCCTCCTCCGACTCCACGGTCCCGTTCTTGGTGAGCTGCGGGTGGCAGGGCAGAGGCTGGGATTCCTACGTCCCATTCCCCTCCGGACCGCCCCCCGCCCCAGCTCATGGGAGAAGGGAGCAAGGAAACATGAAAGAAAAAGAGAATTCCAAGCAGGGAATCCCTTTTCCAGCCCCCCTGGGCTGTGCCCTGCGAGCAATGGGATAACAAGAGGTCCCTGCTGCTGAAAACACCGGGATGCCACAAGAGTGACCCCTGGGAAAATAAGACTTGAGGGGCCAGAGCTGGATCCTGCATCGTGCCTTCGGCTCCATGCACTCAAACACCCCCTAAGCCTGGCTCACAGGTGTCCCAGCCCTTTGGGAGCTGGCACATGGACACGTCCATGGCCTCCCGAGGAGCAGTGGAAGAGGGAGGTGGGTGCTGGACGTGGGCATCCGGGCAGTGAGAGCCCCAGCATGGGCCCTGCGGAGCAGACCCAGCCCCTGGGCAAGGCTCCAGGGCACAGCCTGGATGTGGCTGGAGAACAGGCAAAGCCACCCAGAGCCTGCTGCTGCCTGCTCCCAGACTGAGCACCCATGGACACAGGAGAGGGAAACGACCCATAGGGGTGATCCCCTCCCCTACCCTGGCTGCACCCGGGGCCCCCTGCGGTACCTTCATCTTCTTGGCGTGGAGCTTCTCCTCCTTGAGGTGCTCGCGCAGGATCTCGCGGTGGTTCACCTCCTGCTCCTGCGCGAACTCGCACAGGGTGTAGCTGCGCACGGAGTTGTGGCGCGGGGCCATGCCCAGGGAGCTGCCGCCCTGGCTGGGGACGCTGGTGAAGCCCTGGCGCCGCGCGAAGTAGTACACGGTGACCTGGTCGAAGCGCACGTTCTTCCTGCCCAGCTGCTTCTGCCGCTTCAGGATGGACGTGGCTGCGGGGGGGAGGCACCGCAGGGGGGTCACAGGAGCAAAGAGAACTCCCCCCTCCTCCCAGACCTTGCAACCCGCTGGGCTCCCAGGATGGGGCTGAGTCTGTCTGGGACTCAATGAGCTCTGGTGCCAGCGAGGGCAATGCCAGCACCCCCCATGGCCCCACAGCACCAGCGCCCGCGCAGGCAGTGGGACGCTCCAGCAGGGCGAATCCTGGGATAGGAAAGCTCCACGATGGAGCTTGGACCTCAGGAATGGGGCTGACACTGGGAAGTGCCCAAGGCCGGGTGTCCCGCGCCCTCCCACCCCTGCGCATCACCAGATGGGTTACGAGGGAGGCAGAGGGGAAGGGCAGAGTTGGCCCCGGCGCAGCGCGGCGCCGGCCACTCACGTCGGAAGCCGCTGGAGCTGGAGGGGTTGACGCTGTCGCAGCTGTCGGCGCTGTCGCTGTTGGAGATTTCGTCGTCCGAGTTGGATCCCGCCGAGCCCGCGTCCGCATCCTCGAACTTCCTCTTGATGCCGGCGCTCGGGATCGCGTCCATTTGGCCGGGGCTCGCATGGGAGCCGGTGGGCAGCGGTGGCACCGGCGCTTCGCCAGCAGCTCCGCGGCGCCAGCCCCTGCCCGCAGCCCGCGGGGGTCTCTGTGGAGAAGGCAAGAAGCGACCGCGGCGTTTGGGACAGGCCAGCAGCACTTGGGATGACCAGGAGAGGTTCACGGGGCTCCCAAGAGCAGCTTCTCCCATCCCTGCCCGTCCCTCCCTGACAATGCCCCTGAACCCTGCTGCATTCCTGCAGTTCCCCAAGGGGAGCCCATCACCCCCGTGTCTGGTCTGCAGCTGGAAGGGACCCTAAAGCTCCTCCAGCTCCAACCCCTGCCATGGGCAGGGACCCCTTCCACTGGAGCAGGGTGCTCCAAGCCCTGTGTCCAACCTGGCCTTGAGCACTGCCAGGGATGGGGCAGCCACAGCTTCTCTGGGCACCCTGTGCCAGCGCCTCAGCACCCTCACAGGGAAGAGCTTCTGCCCCAGAGCTCATCTCAGTCTCCCCTCGAGCAGGTTCAAGCCATTCCCCTTGGCCTGTCCCTGTCCCTCCATCCCTTGTCCCAAGCCCCTCTCCAGGTTTCCTGCAGCCCCTTCAGGCACTGGAGCTGCTCTCAGGTCTCCATGTAGGAAGGGAATGAGCTGCTGGAGGATCCTGCTGTGAGAGCCTCTGGTACTTCCCTGCCCCCTTGTCAATGCTGATGTGCTCCAAACAAGGCAGCTTGTCCGTGGATCCTGGGAAGTGCTGGGCTCCAGCTTGGGTGAGGAGTATTTGAGATGATGCTCCAGTGGGAAGATCAGCGAGTGTCCCTCTATGTCATAGCCATGGAATCCACCCAGATGGAAGAGGTCTTCAGGCTCATCCAGTCCAACCATTCCCAGCCCTGCCAAGGCCACCGCTGCCCCATGGCACTGAGGCCTCATCTCCACGGGGTGTGAGCACTTGCATGGACGGTGCCTGCAGCCCTGCCCTGGGCAGCCTGTTCCAATGCCTGAGCACCCTCTGGGGCAGGAATTGTTCCTCAGCTCCATCTAAACCTGCCCTGGTGCAGCTTGAGGCCGTTTCCTCTTGTCCCATCCCTTGGTCCTTGGGAGCAGAGCCCAGCCCCTCCTGGCTCCATCCTCCTGTCAGGCACTTGGAGGCAGCGATCAGGCACCCCCCGAGCCTTCTCTTCTCCAGACTGAATCCCCCAGGTTCCTCAGCCATGGATCCAGCCTGGCCAGATCCCCCTGCAGAGCTTCCCACCCGATCTGGTGCCATCTGCCACTGACTGCAGGTTTGCTCATCTCCTCATTCAGACCATGGGCAGGCATCACCCTCTCGACAATCCCGGGTCCCCAGCAGCAGCTTCTGCCTTTGAACCGAGCCCAGGGCATCGCCTGTGCCCATCCGGGATCCGCTGGATCAGGAATCCCCCCGGGACACCCTGGGCGGCGCAGCCTCATCTCCTCTCCCTGCTCCTCCTCTCCCACCGCCGTTCTCATGGCAACGGAGAAACCGGCTTCTAACGGAACCAGCGGCTTCCCTGCGGAACCCGCCTGATCCCAGGGATCCCAGAGGCGATGCAGGGGTGAAGGGGCAGTGGGGGGCTCTGCCTGCACCAGGACACAGGCTCTGCATCCCCTGGTCACCACCTCCTGCCCCACAAAGGACGTGCGGGTGCTGCAGCTGCAGCCCTCCCCTTGGTCCATCACCTCCATCACCCCAAACCTGCCCCACGTCTGCAGCCCTAGGGTCCCTGCCTGGGTTCCTGTGGGTGCTACTCAGCCCAGGGCCCAGCCAACTTCACCAGCCTTGGGTTAGGAAGGAGCTGATCCCCAAGGAGAGCGGCAGTTCCTTGCATTGCCTCCCAAAGCAAAGCTCCAAAACATCCTCCCAAATCCCCCTCCTGCAGGTGCTTCTGGTGAGGAAAGCCAGGGATGGTGCCGGGGTGGACAATACCCACAGCATCGACCTGGCTGGGGATGGAGACTGGCTCCAGCCCTGGATGGATCCACCAGGACGGAGCTCACCTCCATTGGGATGGATCCATCAGATTTCATTTCACTTCTCCAATGCAGAAGCTCCCTGCCCGTGTGAGCATCCTCCTCCTCCTCCCCAGCGCAGCAGCAGCTGCCCCTGTGTGCAGCAAAGGGCACTTAAATTCCTTTATTAGCTCCAATCATCCTTCTTTTGGTGGTTTCTGGCTTTGGGAATGGACAGGGTGCAGCCGGGCCCAGCACCTCCCAGTGACCCAGCATGGAGCAGGGAGAAGTCCTGGAGCTGCTGGAGGGAAGAGGAGACCCTCACCCTGGCCTCAGACCTGCTCTGCAGGTCAGGGCTGCCTCATGTAAGGCTTAAAGAGGGAGGAAGCAAAGAGCTGCTGCTGGAATTGCCTCTGGGAGCAGGGAGGGGGGTAGGAAAGAGACAGGACTCGGGTGGTCAAAGAGCCTCCTGCCCCAGAGCCAGTCCACAACGGGGCTCCAGTGTGGGACTGGGAAAACCCGAGGCCTGAGGCTCATCCAAGGCTGATGATCCCCAGGATGGTTTGTGATTCCTGCTTCCAGGAGAGGAGGAAGGGCAGAAGCATCCCAGGATGAGGTCTGCTCTGTGGTCCCCAAAGCTCCTTCGCTGATGCCGATGGATCTGCAGTGGTCCAGGACCCGCTGACGAGCCTCATTCCACCTCCGGCATTGCCTCCAATGATCCTCGATCCCTGTCGGATGTGCTGCCGGGCTCCTCCTCCATTGACAGAGCAATTCCAGAGTGATGAACTCCGTTACCTCCAGCCCTTCAGAGTGATCAGTGATCACCCCCTGAGCATCCTGCATGGGATCCTCTGGGCATCCCGTGGCTCTTGTGATGGCTCCCTAAAAACCACGCTCCAGGCCCAAGCAACCTGGATGATGCTCAGAATTCCCTCCTTGTATCCCCTCCTCTCTGCCAGCTGCTTTAACCACATCCCTGGAGCCCCAGTTTTTGGTGGGGAATGGTTTAAATAAGCTTCCCCTCAAAAGCAAGAGGCAAAGGCGGATCCTGACAACGCCTCTGGGGTTTGGAGGTATCACAGGGGTCAAATATGGAGATGTGGGATTATCCCAGCAGCCGGAGAAGGAGAGGGTGGGAACTGCATGAGAGCAGGAAGAAACAGATCCACACAGGGAGAGCCCCCCCGGGCTAAGCAGCAGCAGCAGCAGCCGGACCCCATCCTGGTGCATTAAGGACCAGATCACGGAACACAGGATAAAGCCAGGAAAAAAACCCATCAAGGAATAACCGGAGGAGCCCATTTTATTCCATCGCAGCGCTCAGCATCTCCCGGGAAGCCGACACTGGAGAGCAAAGGCAGGAGCCAGGCTGCAATTCCCTGGATTCCCCCCTGGAAAACGGCTCATCCCTGGCTGAAACCCACCCAAAAAGGGGCTTCTCCTCACAGAGCCCCCCCAGCTCGGCTCCATCCCGTGATGCAGCGGGAATAGCGCTGCCGGGATGACACGGCAGCATCACTGCAGAGCCCCACGGCAGAAAACCCCTCCAGTGCTTCCCAGCAAGCAGCAAAGCAGCTCCCACCACCAGCCCGGAGCCCAGCACAGGGGGATTCAGGCCGTTATTCCCAGGGAAAGCAAACGGGAGCCTGCGAAGAAGCCGAATTCAAACCCTCAATGCGCTTCCTGCAAAGAGCAAGGAAAGCAGCTCACCTCCTCTGGGATGGCCACCGCGATGGGCTTTGGGCTGGGAGCAGCACCTCGGGGGAAGGGTCCAGGCACAGGGAAGCACATAAAGGAAAAGGAAGCTCACGTCTGCTATCGCTGCAGAATCAAAGCAGGAGCCGGGGAAAATGGCACACGCCGTTCCCGGCCGGTGCGCGACAAATCCAGGCGTATCCCAGGGCAGGAATTAGGGCACAAGCTCCTGTTGATGAGCCCAGAAACGGGGCTGATTATTCCCCCCCCCCGGTGGGGATGGAACGGAGGCTGCGTGGCCACCACCAGGAGTTCAGCGCTGGGGCTTCTCGGAGGTTTTCCTCTGCAGCCGTGGATCCGCCGGCTCTCAGGATGCTGCGGCCACGGGCACAGTGGAGATCCCAGCTCCGCCTGGGTCAGGCCTTGGACCTTCAGTGAGGGACCAGCTTTGGCCTCCCTCCGCTGGTGCCGCTACCGATGACAGCGCGAGGGAAGGGGGGCAGGTCCCGGTGCAGCAGCAGCAGCCACAGAGCTGGGGTGCCCCTGAGCCCCCCTTGGTGCCCGCTGCAGTGGGGACAGCTCCCAGTCCTGAGGAGGGTCTGGCGGGGCTACGGAAAGGGCTAATCCCAAAACACCCACTGGGTCCCTTTGCCTGTCACCGGGATCGAGTCATAAGGGAGGCTCCACAGAATACCTTGATCATGGAAACCCAGACTGGTTTGGGTTGGGAGAGACCTGAGAGCTCCTCCAGCTCCAATCCAGCTCCACGGACCCCTCCCACTGGAGCAGGGTGCTCCAAGCCCCTGTGTCCAACCTGGCCTTGAGCTCTGCCAGGGATGGGGCAGCCACAGCTTCTCTGGGCACCCTGTGCCAGCGCCTCAGCACCCTCCCAGGGAAGAGCTTCTGCCCCAGAGCTCATCTCAGTCTCTCTCTGGCAGGTTCAAGCCATTCCCCTTGGCCTGTCCCTACAGGCCCTTGTCCCAAGCCCCTCTCCAGGTCTCCTGCAGCCCCTTTAGGCTCTGGAGCTGCTCTCAGGCCTCCCCTGCTCCAAACACCTGAGGGCAAGGGAAGGGCAGGAGGACACGGCCAGGGCTGTTGGATGGAGCAGCTGTCCCGAGGCTGAGCGTGGTCAGCATCAGAGCCCGGCTCCTACCGAGATGACCCCGAGGAGCCTCAGGGCCTCTGCAGCGTGGGCTGGGCCTCAGAGCCTCCATCATGGCTGCTCGAGGTCCCACCACGGCCCAACAACATCACCCCAGTACCCCCCTTCCCCTCCCAGCACCTGCAGTGGGGGCAGCCAACGACCCCTCCCCACCTTTGGGGGGACATCAGAGCAGGACCCCCACAATGGTGGCTCCTCCTCCAGCACATCCCATCACCATCCTCATCATCATCATCCTCATCAGCTCCTTCCCACCACCCTGGTGGGCCCTACCACTACATGGCTCCTTGGGGACCCATGTAACCGTCCAACTCCCCTACACCATGTCCCCACATGTAAAGATCCCCCCCACCTTCTACAGTCCCCAGGTAGAGAACAAAGCAGCTTAAGGGGTACCCCATGTCCTCCATAGGTGCCCCACAACCCTTACAGGACCCCACAACCCAGAGGAGGGGAGAGCCTCTGCTGAAAGGGTCCCCCACATCCTCTATGGGCACCATCCCCAACACCCCCCCCCCCCAGCTGTCAGGTCTGCCCCACAAGTTCTCCATTTGGAAGCCGGGCCCACGTGCCCTGCAGGCCCCTGCATCCTCTATAGCCCCCAGCCAGCAAAGGCCTCCTTATCCCCTAGAGGCTCCTCTAGAACCCCTCCAGCTCTGGGGCCTTCCATCATCCCCTATAGCCCCTCAAGATGCAAAGCTGCCCCCATCCCCTTTAGGCCCCACATCCCCTATAGACACCCCCTCATCCCCCATAGCCCCACATCCCCTATAGACACCCCCTCATCCCCCATAGCCACCCCCTCATCCCCCATAGCTCCACATCCCCTATAGTCACCCCCTCATTCCCCATAGCCCCACATCCCCTATAGACACCCCCTCATCCCCTATAGGCCCTCCCCATCCCCTGCAGCTCCCCCGGCTCCGAGGCCCCCCCCTCCTCTGCATTCCCCGGTGCACGCGGAGGGAGCGGCCGCCCTCCCCCACCCCGCCGGTACCGGACCCTCCCCTCCCCCCCCCCCACTCACCGGGTCCCGGGGCGGGGCCGGGCGGGGCGGGGGCGGCTCCCGGGGGCGCGCGCAGGGGCCGGGCCCGCCCCGCCGCCGACCGCCGACAACAATGGGGCCGCGGGCGCAGCGCCGCCCCTTATATACCCCGCGTCACGTGGCGGCGCACGCCCCGCCCACCACGCTCCCCGCCGCCGCCCGCTCCGAGGGGCACGATGGGAAAGCGAGTCCTGAGGCCGCGGGGCACGACGGGAAATGTAGTGCGGAAGTGACGGGAACCACGCCCGCGGCGCGGGGAGGGCTCGCACCCGGTGCGGGCGGGGAGCGCCCCAGCCCCGCGGGGGAGCCTGGAGCGGAGCTCACCCCCGGTTCAACGGGAACGGGCCAAAGGAGGCCTCGGCCTGGGCACCGCCGCCTTCGTCCTCCCCGGCCCCTGCAGCAACGGCCCCGGCCCGGCCGCAACCTTCGCCATGCGCGCATCACTTCACCCGGGGGGTGCCACCAGCCCCGTGCACCGGCACCATCAGCACCGAGCTCGCAGCGCTCCGGCGGGGCTCCTGCAGGCCGAGAGGGAAAACCAGGCTGGGAACAGCGGGGGTGCAGCCCGGAGAAGAGACCTCGGAGCAGCTTCCAGCGGCTGGAGGGGGCTCCGAAGAGGGAGCTGCATCAGGGACTGGAGCGATGGGACAAGGGGTGATGGGTTCAGGCTGGAACAGGGGAGTTCAGGTTGGAGATAAGGGAGCTCTTCCCTGTGAGGGTGCTGGGACACTGGGATGGGTTCAGTGGAGGAGGTTTGGATGCCCCATCCCATCAAGCCCGGGTTGGACACAAGGGCTTGGAGCACCCTGCCCTGTGGAAGGGGTCCCTGCCCGGGGCAGGGGTTGGGACTGGAGGAGCTTTAAGGTCCCTTCATCCCAAACCATTCCGTGATTCTGTCTTCCCCCTTCCCAAGTGACCTGAACGTGCACAGGAGGCGAGGGGGCTCCTGCAGGGAGAAGCAGGTGGAATCGGTTCATGTTTTTCATGTCTTCTCCTGGCATCATCCTGAGGCTCCCACAGCTCAGGGCAGGGCCTGCAGCAGCTCAGGGCCAGGGTTCAGGAAGCAAACGAGCCCAAAGCCCGGCACAAAGGCCAAGTGGCCACATCCTCCCGCCTGCAATCACCACCCAGTGCCTTCAGCCAGGCCCTGGGCAAACCAGCCCAGGTGGCTCCTGCCCCCCCTGCCAGCACTCGGCTACGACCATGCCCAGGGTTCACCCCTGCATCCGCCAGGTCCTGGCCAAGCCCAGCTCTGCTCAGCCCTGGAAGCACCTGGGAGGTGCCTGGATGCGAGCGGGAGCCCAAGCACCAGCTGCGGGGAGCTGCTGAGGCTCCGGCGCTGCAGCAGGGTCTGAGCAGCGCAACCCAGGAGCCAGAGGGGAGCCGGGGATGTCCGGGTGCTTCCCCCCGGGATGGGGGCACAGCAGCGGCTGTGGGAGCTCCGCAGGTGCAGGCAAAGGGACTGCCCCAGCTGGGACTGGCACTGGGAAATGCGCCTGCGGCCCCGAGGCAAGGAGCAGCCCCAGAGGATGGGAACAGTCGCTCCTGGCTTACAACCGGCAGCAGGGCCATGACCAACGTGAGAGTCACATCCAGCACATCCTGCCTTGTGCTGGAGCTGCCCGGAGCCTCACTGGAGCTTTTACTCTGCGTTTCTGCTCCTACGTTTTGGTTCCAAACACCCTCGGGTCATGCTGCTGGTTCATTCAGGCAGCCCCGTACCATGGGCAGTCTCTACCAGCTGATCTTGCACAGGATCCATCCCGTCAGGCCACAGCCTTCGCCCCAGAGCCTTCCCTGCTAGCCTGGAACCCTGCACAGAGGCGCTTCTGCATTCCATAACCCTGGGATCCTGCTGCCTCCTCCTGCTCAGCGTGCTCAGGGCTCCCCCAGTGCTGAGGCATGGGGATGCAGGGGCAGAGCACTCGCTAAAAGCTGCAGACGAGAACCCCAGAGCACGCTCGTTCTTTATCCACCTCTGCTGCATTCCACGGTTTGCTCCAGCTTTACACACCCCAATCCACATGGAAAAGTTCCTGACCTCCCCCTTGCATGGGAAGAGGGACGGCACCCATGGAGCCAGTGCCACTTTCGGGTGGGTGGAGAAGAGAAACCCAAAGTCCCCACCTCTGTCTAAGAGATGCGTTGTAGCATTAAATGAAAGCTTAATAAAACCTTTGAAGACCCCCCCAGCCCTCACCTCCCACTCCAGCAGCACAGCACGCAGTCTATGAGACCTGCCCAGCTCAGCACCTGCCCCAGGGCCGGCTGGCTCTGCTGGGCCACTTGCATTCATGTTCTCTCCAGTCTGCCAGCGTCACCGGGGCCCCGCAGCAGAGCTGAGCACGTCTGCCCCAGCCAAAGCCCTCAGCAGGGCTTGGGTCCCAAGGGCAAAGCTCTGCCCAGAGCTACACAGGAGAGCTCCCAGCCTCGCTGCACGTTAGCACCAGCATCAGAGGCAGGAGGCTGAGGTCCTCTGCAAGCAAGAGCCGAGGAGCCGGCAGCTGGGGGGCTTTGCAGAGGATGCTCCTGAGTTCCCAGATCTCTGCTCGTGTCCTTGTGCTGGAAGTGAAGGGTCTCCACTCGTGATGGGAGGATGGTGAGTGCTCCTCCTCCCGTGCCCTCCTATTTCAGGATGATGTGGTAGCTGTCATTGGTCTCAGCTGCAAGAGAAGCAAAGGGCATGAGCCACTCACCCCGGCCAAGAACCCACTGGGCTGAGCGGATCTCACACGAGAGCTCCCCCCAGGAAGGGCAGGAGGGAAACAAGCTGGAAGCTGGGCACTTACACACCTTTCATGGTGTCCAGAACGAAACAGGATTCATCTTGGAAGTTCTGGATCATCTGCAAGAAGCCGGAAGAGCCAGCTTAGCCCAAGGCTGTGTCTGAACACAGCACAGGTGCCTCACAGCTAAGTGAGGGCTTCGTGTTCAGCCATGGGCACAGGGTACAGGGCTGGAAGCTGCTCGGGCAGGAGCTCAGTCTCTGGGAGGTAGCAAAGCCACCAGCCATAAATAACTGTTCCCTTCTGCAGCTCTCCAGCGCTGAAGGTCCAAACAGGGAAGCAAGGAGAGAAACTCTTGGGTCTCAAAGCCGAGTCCTCCCCCAGCCATTCCCATCCCTGGTTT